TGTTTGGTCATGCCTGTGGCAATAGAGAGCCAAGAAAAATGTTCCAGAAAATCACATCTGTTCCACGCATGATGTTTTGGCCCAGGTTTGGCTCTGAGTGTTGGTGAAAGGCCTGATGAAGCCTGGCACTACACTTTAGGGGCTTACCAGCAGCAGACTATCATGGCCTACTGACCCGGCTGTCTGACATAGGACTTTGTCTCGGTTATGGAGGTGAACAGGAAATTTCTTTTACCTCATGCAGAGATGATTATATTTCCTTGCACTGCCCCGTGAATTATAAAAAGCCCATTTCCATTACACACACGTACAAGCCTAAACCTGTGACTGTGTGCCCAGCAAAGCACATCTGAGGTCAGTCTGAGTTCATCTTCAGTTCAACATGACTATGGACTTTGTTGTGATACAGTACTTACTCCCCAAAGTGTTCTAGCGTTAGCTTGATTCAATTTAGGCCTCCAGCAAGCTCATGCTACATGAAGACTGGAAACACAATACTTCCTTTTGTTCTTTTTCTTTCTCTAATGGCAAAATATAAGGAGAGCCTGAACTGGCTCATACAGTTCACTTTGTTAACGCCTCGCTCTGTAAAACGCACACTTCCTTTTTAAGGACTAAAAGATGTGCTGTCTTGTTTCGTTAGTGTAATCGCCAGATGCTTCTGGGTCAGTGGTGTTTCTAGTGCGGAATGATTCTGTTGTGGAACATGACTCGTGCACTTTGCGACATAGTGGAGTTTCAGAGGAGAAGGCTAGATGTGATTTTTACTGGAAAACAGCGTAATCAACTCTGTTTTCACAATTTAAGAAAGCTCACCCAGTGTCACAGCAAAACCTGGAGTGACCTTGCCGCCATGTTGTTCCCACATTACATAGACATCCACTTCTGGGACTTGAATGCAAAATGGTAGGCAGATGTTTTTTGTCTTGTTTTCTGTATGAAGAGTCTGTGGTCAAGCTCCGCGCTGTCCTCAGAGCACAGAAGCTGACGAGGATGGCGTTATGATTTATCATACAGCAGCAGCCATCATAGCAATCCCTAACCGTGATGTTATCCTGCCTTATCTGTTATTATGGCAATGTCCATTTTGTCTGATTTCATTTAAAAGAGCTTATTTTTGTTGCTCAAACAACAGCTGACCAGACCATTCCTTACACGTTTCTGCAAATGGAAATGGAAGACAAGTTAAATTGTAGATGTAATTCTGAAGTACAACATTAGCTACTTGTGGCATGTTCTCAAAGTCAAGTTGCTATGATGGCTCCAGCTGTAGGTGCTTCATCCACTCGGTCCTCCATTCTCAAATGGGGGAGATTGCTCATGTTTCCGACTGCATTCAAACAGCCTCATGTACGTGACTTAATAACGGCAAACTTCCACTAATGAAATGTGGGTGGTGGCTACCCGCCTCTACCGACCTGTACAAGTACTGACAGATCAGACTGAACTTCCATAAGGTGTTCCACACAACCACATCTGCTCTGTTTCTGGTTGCAGTCTTGTAGTCCTTCATTGGCCGTTCAGAATTCCTGGATAATCACGCAGCCCATCGCAGCCTCTGGTCAAAGCCAAGCACTATATGACTCACGAAGCACTGACAGAGGAGCTCATTCAGCACGTCTTGTGTTTGCACACTCATCGAGTAGCAGGGCCCATCGTGTTTGCAGACTGTATAGGCTAATGTTGTGTATAAAGACGTTTCAGATGTTTTGAAAAGTTTGGGAAGTGGATCCTGGATTTTAAGGGGTGGGGTCAATGCACAATGAATATATTCCATGTCACTGTTTTGTCTGAATCCCTTTACCATTCCCACATGAGATAATATGTTGTATCTTTCAAAAATATTTTATCTGTGGTGTGTGTGCGTGTGTGTGTGTACATATATATATATGGTTTGTTATATATGATGCTCCTCCTTTCAGAAAAATATAACATGTAAACAGGAAAAACATTGCTGTTTTTTTCCTTTGTATTTTATACTTACAGAAAGCATTGAATAAAATGGATAAATACTTGCACTTTAGATATATTAAGAAAAATAAAAATCTGCATATTATTTTTGATAGGGATCTCACATTCAAAGAGTATAAATTACAGGCTTTGTGACTATTGCTGGACAGAGATGTAGTGAGTTCTACTTATTGAAGTATATTTTGTCTGTGTGTCAGAAGGTTTACTAAAGTAAATTGCATGACAAAGTAGTGCTACACCGATATTGTTCTTTTTTTTAGTTGGTAAAAATGTCTGAAAACTGTGATAACAACCCTCTTGTATCATGTTTAACCTCTCCTCACCCCTTCTAGAATATTTCTTATTGAAATATGGCCTTTCCTGACTACAAGACGATGGTGCTTACTTTGGCTTTGACATCAAGCTCATCCTCTACATCTCTACATGATCATAACTCGCAACACTTCATTACTTTCTGTTATGTACTCTCACTACCTTATTAAATTTCCGTTGATGGCAAAAAGAAGGTGTGCTGTTTTGTACATTGCTCTTTGATTAATGTTGGGGGGAGTCTTGTTGTCTGAAAAATGACTAAACGCGCAATAAAAAAAGTCATTCCACTTGTCCCTGTCTCTGCACAACTGTCTCAACACTCCCATCATCTCTACCTTTCGGCTGAATATTACACACATAAGCCAGTCCCTTGTCTGATACAGGCTACATTGTTATTATATGCAAAGTCAATCTATATGAAAAAGATGTCAGTTACAGGTTTATTTTATTTATCACTGCTGACAACCGCCTGCAATCAGAGGATGTGGCTCCCCATCAGCTATCCAGGGAAAGCTTCTTTATGGATTGCTGAATAAAAAAGATGCAAACACAATACAAGGGCTAGCTGCAGCAGATGGATACAAAAATCCGAGTTTATACAGCGATCCAGACATCTGCCTCTACTTCTATCTGAAAATCAAAGCATGAGTGCCAGATTGTTGCCACAGCGGGAAAGACGAGACGCTGCTGACAGAAACGTATTAACTAACATAAGTCAGGTGAGGATTTTTCATTCTGCAGCAGGCAACAGGTCAGTGCACCACAAGCAATAAAACTGAGGCCAGCTCACAAATGTTAAAAGAATGATGTGAGAAACACGGGGAAAAAAAGGTGTTTAAAAGGGTTTATATCTGAAGTGAATTTTTAACCACAATACAATTTGAACTAGAACTAATTAATACTGGCAACTAGAACTTGAATTAATCTGAACTAGTTTGGCAAGAATTTCTGTACATCTAGAATTTTAAGGAGTGACTTGTCTGACACATAAGCTGGTCTATATTTAACCCTTTAATACCCAAAAGCGTAGTAGTCATATAGAAATAGCTTGGGAATTTGTCTCTCATTTTGCACCATTGCTTTTTTTGCAGTGACCTGTGCTATATTAAACCAATGTAATTACATCCAAAAAGGTCAGATTATGTACATTTAAGCATATTGTGGGTTTATCCATGGGATCTAGTACTTGAGAAATATTATAAACTAACTTGGGTTATTTTAAAAGCTCTAGGAGCAGAACTGCATCTGTTTAGTAATTTCCCAAGGTTTCATCTGATTAAAGGCTCTGAAAGTTTTTTTTCCCTTTTTTTACATCAGGCATTTTGACATGTCACAACAGGACAAATACAGGTGTTACAAATGAAAGTAATTAGCTACAAATGCATTTCATATTGCTTTTGTGCACACAGTCATAGCTTACTGGGATGGTTCAACATAACAGTGGTGCTCTTCCAGCTATGAAAAGACTAAATGTCTGCAGTGGGAAAAAAGGCCTATAGTTATCTCCATTTAGGACTTATTGAAAAGGACTGGGGCCATTGCATAAAATGTATTTGAATTCTGACTAAAAACTCAGAATTCTGAGTTTAAAGTGGGCCCGTTCCTCTTCCTTAGTGACTGGCGCCCCACTCACTATGGCAGAATTTAGGGTTTAGAACGTTTACTCATGATAAATTAGTTAGACTCCTCACTTACATTTGTCTTTATTTTTGAAGCATTTTCTTTTGTTAAAAATATTTTATAGTAATAGAATAAAGTATAAATGTTACCTTTGTATAGTGTTCCTTCAATTTGTGGTTAAGTCATGTATTCACAGTTCAGGACTTCTCAGGCTGTTCAGCATCTGTCAGGCCTTCTGTTTGAGCTCGTCATCTTGACAACATGACATTAATAACTTTACATGACTATTTGTTGACCGCATTACAACTTCTTGTGAACACTTTGGAAGATGTTCTGTAATTATTAGAAATGTCTCCGTGACAGCAGAACCCTTAACGAGACTTAGTGGAAACCTTTGGCAGGTTCAGGTGGGTGCTCTAGACACTGTTGAGGCTAACACAGTTTAGCGCACACAGCTGGTGATGGATAGAAGTAAAAACTCACTACTAGCAACATTACAGCAACAAGCAACCCATACTGCAACTCTTTAAAGTAAATATAATATTTGGTAATCTTTGTTTTTGTTAAAAAAACTTATGGATACCCACAAAGTTAACTTATTACAGACATACTGTATGTTTCAAGGGAGTTTTTCATGTTCCCAAGACAAATTTCTGTATATTTTGTGACAGTTATGGACCAATGCTAATTATATGAGCCTTCTCTGTTAGAAATTACTACCAAAGGCAGTGCAGGGCACAGTGGACAGTGCACTAATAATACATTTTACAAATTAATGATATTACCTAATATTAAATATGCATCTGGTCATTTGCAGGGAAATAATTAATAACGAAATATATTTTTAAAAACATGGACAGATAAATTACATTTTTACATACAGCTGAGCAGGATATCCATATGATAAGAAGTGGAACTATATATACTTTTTAAGTCACCACACCCAAAAGGCTCAGCATTGCCCAGATGTGAAATTATACTAAAATGGAATGAAATTAGTTTATGCTGCGCTGAAAATAGTCAGCTATAGCTATTTTAAAAAAAGGTTACAATACTTTGGTTTTGTAGTTAACGTAATTATAGATCAGTCTTTTAACAGCCAAAACAGCTCACAAGTAATCCTGTCTACTTGACGCTGTGGGATGTATAAGCAGTCAGTATCATGACATAGGTTTACAAATGCAGTCAGCATTTCCCAGCTGCTGTAGATGAACTTCTTCAACATGTCTGCTGATGCAGGAGAAATACTGCAAGACACCCGAGGCAACGATTTTAAGTGGTAGAGAAGGTGGTGCCTTTTAAGTTTAGATTTGAAGCATTAAAAGAAAACTGGGAGATGATACAGTACCGTGTTCCACTGGAAAATACTGGAAGCCGCTCTACATATTGTTTTGCAAAAGACTGGAATGCTACACTAGAAAAGGTACATTCGTACCACTGTAGATGTGTCTGGTGTGATATTACATTATGTAGAGTTTTTAAAAGCTGGGGTGCAGAAGCTTAAATGCATTTCTGAAGTAAATGTAGTTTAGGCTAAGTGTGTATCCCATACCACATCAAATAATATACCATGCTGGGTTTCTGCTCCTCAGTGAAACATGTACTGTAAACGTTAACTTTACAATTACTCTTTCCAAACAAACTCTATAAAACCTGATGGTTTATTATTTATTACCATTAGGTACTAGAACACTAAAGGCTTCAGACTACTTAACAGCTGTTTTATAGTGGATTTGATTAATGTGCAAACTTTCAAATTTACTTCCTAACTGCAAGTTAAACATTTCCTAAAAAATGTGCATTTATTCATGACAGACGTTTTGTATAGTGCTAAAGTTTGGCTTTGTCTAAAGCTGAAGTTATATATGCATATATATATATATTACACAAGGTCATTTAAGAATATATTATCAACAATGTCAGTGCAAACCATTTTAGCACATAAGTGAGCATCTTAATAAATCATAGTCCCAACTGTCTGTATAAAAGCTTACTTTATGAAGCACAGACTAAATATTCAGTAAAGATGTCCTTTACATAGTATGAGCATCCTGTCAAAAAACAGTTCAGATATACAAACAAAACAAGAAGACAGATCCAAAGCTGACATCAAAGTGCTGGAGTTGTCATTTTTGAAATAAAACATAACAATCAACTAATATTTTTTACCACAATCCTATGTTACAGCACAGGCCTACCCTAGGACATTGGGAAACGATGGTTAGCACAACAGCCAAAGTGACTATAAGGAGAAGTCTCCCTGTAAGGATGCAGTTATTTATCCTAACAACACAGCTTTTATAAAATGGTATGTCCTCTTTGAAAACTCCTTTTTAGCATTTTGGTCTGTACAAAGATTCGGTTCCAGAATTCCAGTTGTGACTCCAGGTTTCCAGCCATGTCCAAAAAGGATCTCAGACCCCATCAGTCACTATTAATATGATATAAAAACCAGCAGAAGCGCCGTGTCCAGAGCCAAAGATATGACTGTTCATACTGTCGATACCCACAGCTCTGGTTATGTTATCACACCTCTTGTGCCATACTGAAGCTGAGTGAGAGGGCATTAAGCTCACTGGTCTACAGTTGTGTCATAAGCAAATTATGTAGAAAGAGGAAATGTGTGTGTGTGTTTGGGAGGGTAAGGATCTATTAAGGTGCTCTCAAAGAGCAGTACTACCACATCTGCAATTGCTTAGTACAAGTCCCCCTTCTGTGAGAAACAGGCTTAATATGTTGTGTTCCTCTGAATGTGTGTGCTGGATATCCAGTCACCTATTCTTGGCTGGCAGAGACAATTTACTTAGAAAACTAAACTAGTTTCTTCTCAGAAAACAAGTCTCTCCTCCTCTTCCTCCTTCTCACCCATGTGGAAGCTGTTTTGATGGCTGTTCTGCTGGTGGTGCTGTTTTACTGCTATTTTCTCCTTCCCAGTATCCTGACAGGATTCTTGACTGTAGCCTGAGCAGTCCTGCTGCTACACTCTCCAATCAGCCAGTCTCTCCCCACAGGGCCTGTGTTCCCAAAAACATCTTCATCTGATGGGAGTGACTTCAGCAGAAGGAATGCACCAGTATTGGTAAATGCCCAAAAGAAGGTCAAACAAACTATGACAGCTCCATGTAAAATGTTATAAATCAGAGCAGGGATCAGTTAGATGCTCTGTTTTTTGACATAGAAGTACATTTTTTGTCTCAAAGATGATGGCTACCTTTGTGCTGAAGATGCATTTGAGAGATCCAGGCCTGATTGTGACGACAGTCTTATTCAACAGAAGGCCGCTGGACTGTTTCTCACCAAACATGCTCAAGTGATTCTTCATACAAAGACGTGACCCTGTTTTATTTACCTTTTCCTGTTACAAGTTCAACATCGCAAACAGAACCATTTAAAAAAACATGCCAATGTGCGCACACACACAGTACACACACGTTCCCATGCTGCCCTTCATTTCAATCTTCAGACACCTCACATCCTGCCACCTGTTGTTATATATCAGCCCTATTAGCTCAGTTCGCTCGGTCATGACATAGGAGGAGGAGTAATGGTACAGTGCTCTCATTCAGTCATACTGCTGTTCTTCAAAACAAATAGAATATTTGAATACATGTCAGTATTTGGGGTAGTGGCAGCTCAAAAATCACAGAAAGAAACTTGTGATCTCTGTGACAAGTGACTGCGTAACTCTCTCAAAAATCCCTCAAAAACTAGCGTCAAGGTGCCCTTGAGTAAGGCACTCAACCTCCAGGTCCCTCTGATGGAGCAGCTCAGAGAACACTTGGCTGCTCCTGTATGCATGTGAATGTATGTAACTGTATGAATGTCAAGAAGGAAACTACTGAAAAAGGTCATGTCTGCTCTGTGTGAACCGTTCCTGGGGCGAATAAAAGCTAATTAAATAAATAAATAAATATGCTATACATGGCAGGGACTTTATCCTTCTGAATGTTTACTACATGACAGATGTGTTTTATCTTCACACACTGCACTCCACTCATACTGTAGGTCCGTACACATGCCTGTCAGTGGCTGAGTGTGTAAACATGAGTGGAAAGAAGGCCAAAATGCTACAGTAGTACCACCTCCACCATGTCCATCTCAGTAAATGTCTGACAAGGACCAGACAGAGAAGACTATGGAGACCCAGTTTGTATCTCTGTCTTTGTTCTCTTTCTGGCCTTAAACTGAGACATTATAAATTACTCAAAGTTCTGCTCACAACTAAAAACTCATTTCAAGTAAAAACAACTGCATCACTCAAAGTTTTCAAAATAATACTGATGATATTGTTATAAATAGTGATCACAGTTATGATCACACAGTTATGATCGAGGTTTGGTAGCGCCACATTTTGGGTGTCAATGGAGCGCTCTTCATCCTTTTCATCTATTGCTCAAGGACAGAAACTTATCACTAGGGTTGATAAATTCTGAGAAGGACGTTGACAGACATTTCTCCTGTTGCTGTTGCTCTTACTGTAAGTAGAACAGGAGGAATGGAGAAGCCCAAAACACAAAACACTAACAAAAGTCCCAGAAAGGAGGTGGAGGATTAAGCTAGTTGGGCCTGGAGGAATGTTGTTTTGTGGGCTGTGGTCTCTGGTCCTCCCTCCTCCCCTCAGGTCCTGTGTCCTGGGGCAGTGCATTCAGCTGTTTTCCCGTTCAGCCCACCGTGAGCCTGGCTGATGGACGGGGAGGACTGCGTCTTGCGGAGGTGGCACTCGCGGCCGGCCACGCCACCCTCCGTGATCAGGCCACCCATCACACTGGCCTCGATCTTCTCAAGGTCATCCGTCTCGGCACGGACTTTGGCCTGCAGCAGGCTGATGTATGTCTCATACCGAGTCTTCTGCTCAGGAAGATGGAGGGAGGATAGGAAACCAAAAGAAGATGTATCAGAGTCAAAATAAGGAGACTGGTACTACTAAAAAAATTACAAAATTATAAATTATATACTTTAAAAAACAGAACTGATATGAACAGAAAACAGCAGACACTGGCCATCTGTCATTATTCTTGCTCTCTGCATTAAAACAGAAAACAAAAAAATGAAGAAATATTCAGAGCCTGTACCTCGTACGTGAGGTAGTGCTCTTTGAGCCGGTACTCCTCCCACTCGCGGGTTTTTGGGTCAGCTGAGGGCGGGTATTTCCGATGCTCCTCCAGCTCCAGGCTCATCTGCTTCAGCTTGGTCTCATGACTCAGCAGCTGCTCCTCCTGCACCAATCACAACACAGACAAACAACGGAGGACCCAAAAAACAGCCAATCAGATGTGAGCAGACACAAATAGAATATGTAAAAGGATTGTGCATGCTGCTGGATTCTGGGGAAATATTCTATGCAAAGAATCAAGTGTATTTTTGCAGTATTATTCTCAATATTATATTATGTTTCTAGAGACCAGTAAAATATAAGCCAGTGCGACAGCTGCCTTTGGTCCTAATGTCATCATCTGTTTGTTTGTGTGTGTGTGTGCATTTACCTGGTTGAGTCTGGTGGATGAGGATGGCAGGATGGGTCGACAGAATTTTTTCATGGAGCCGATGGCAGCAGGGAAGGCCGGGGCAGAGAACAGCGCCGCCACCAGGTTTATTCGGAAGATCCAAGACATCATCTCCTCCTCACTCCTGGAAAAACAAAGAGGGAGAGAGAGAGAGAGAGAGAGAAGAATGAGATGTTGATGAAGCACGAGAGAGCAGCTGAGATCACAGAATGAAAATCATTCGACTGGTGTTTCTTTTGTTGTACACTGACACAGGTGCTTCCTCAAGAGTAAGTCTGGAAGAATGACAGCAAAGCAACTGTCATAGTTCACAAGATGTAGATTCAGTTTAATCATACTATCATTCCCAACTAATATCAACCATTTCTTGACATTGTGTGCCCAAAGTGAATTTAAAAAATAGTTTAAATATTACCAGCTATTTACGTAAAGAAGGTAGAGATCTGTTTTTTAATTTGTAATTTTGGTTGTTGTCCGTTCACAACTACAGTACTGCAGACTCAGTTCAAATGTCAGTTACATATCACCCATAACTGCCAGAAAGAAATAAAGAAGAAGAGGATGGATGATGTTTAAGAGGAGTTTGTTGTAAGTTTTTATCAAAACGATAATGTTTATATCACAGGAAGATTTCTGATGTAGACAGAAGGACAGATTCATCCTGAAGCAAGCAGAATTCTTGTGTGTGTGTGAATTACAGTGATTTAATTTGTTAATTAGTCTCAGTGTTTTAATGAAACCTGTAAGCTACTTTTTACATAAAACAAAACATTTAATTGATAGACTAGTATGAACTATGGTTTAAGTAACATGCAGCAGTTGCATCACTATCATTCACCTGCCTGTCCTGGACATACTGTAGGTACATGAATGCCTGCCGACAGTGTCAACAAACTGTTTCATGATGTTTGGACAAAATCAAAAATTAAAAAAGTAATCATAAATGTATAAAAATTGTATTTTTTTTTATATTTGCGTGAACCTTTACATTGAGGCTTTAGTGTGTTGTAGTGTAATTGAAACATCTCAAGTCTGACTTGGTGACTCACGGGGCCTGCAGCAGATAGACTCTCCAGTCTGAGGTTTTGAGCTTCAGCACGTTGGCTCTCTTACTGTAGTCAGTGGCACGAGTGGCTAAAGCGTGGTGGATCCGCACTGCGTTCTTCAGGTCCACCTCTGAAATGTCGGCATCAGGCTTATATTCGTCCTAGGTGGGTAAAAAAACAAAACAAAACAGCCAGACAGAAGCTGTAGGTCATGGAGTCTGTTTAGTCATTTCTTTTATTTGGTGTGCACTGTATCTGTAGTAAACAATCCCCTAATTAACATGAACACCTCTTTAAAGAAACATCCATAATAACAACAAGTGAAAACAGTTAAAAATGCTACACAGTTTGTCACTGAAATGTCTTTCAGTTTAATCATATTACTGTAGTCTCACATATGGCCAGTACCCTATATCTACCAGCAGGGGGAGACAAACAAACACTAGAGCAGTTGTGCCACATTTCCTTTCCTAATGCTTTATCTGCCTCTCTCTCTTTTAAACACACACATTCACAGAAACACACAAACACACACACAGAGTGGCTAGCAGCATCCACCACCGCAGTGACAATGGTGGTGGATATGTGTTTCTATGGAAACAGAGCAGAGGATGAGATGCAGTACCTTTTGGAGATACAAGATCATCCCCTTCAGAACAGCATAGAACTTCTTCCAACCACGTCGACCCCTTGGCGCTGAGAGAGAGAAAATTGAAGAAGGAAAAAAAAAATCTTTTCTGTCACAGTTTCTAACTTTAACTTATCAACGATTTGGCAACTTCAGTCAAATGCGTATGTGAGTGTTTTGACACAGACACTCACTGCGTTTGCCGTCCATGTCAGCATGACTCTTGCGCGTCATCACACCATGTTTGTAAGTGACGGCATTGAGGAGGATGGGAATGGCGATAAAAGGGTTACTGCCGTCCGTTACCCTAGCAACACGTTTACTCCCACCCTCACACTGCTCCTCCACCAACTCTGAGAGACTCTTCCTCAGCTCCTCCTCCTCACTGCAAACACACACCAATACCCATTCAGATAAACTTGAGTAGCATATTTTCATGTGTACTCACTTATAGAACACTGGCACACCCCAAATACTTTTCCTATTGATTAACACAAGATAGATATACTCACACTGCCCACTCAAGCTTCTCATTCTTGATTGAGTTATACAAGACCTGTGTGAGCAAGAAAATAAGACGTCTGAAACTTCTTTGATTGTTGACTACAGGGTTGGAACATGAAGACAACCTGCATTTTAATAGCTAAGAAAAAGACAGGTCAAGCTAATGGATGCTGCTATTGCTGTACTCTCCCAGGAGGAGGTCCGTACCTTTAATAAGTCTTTGGGAAAGTCTTTGCCATTGTTGAGACCATCTAGATTACTAATAAACTGTTGGCAAGACATCTTCTTCCCAATATTCTGAGGAGACAGACAGAGAAATAACAAAAATAAATAAACACAAAATAGTCAGTAAAAGTTTATGATTAACTTTTCATCATGCTATAATATTGAATCTTTATTTTTTTGTATGTGTGTGGAGCAAAACTGGCCAATCTTTGTCACCACAGTGCTCATAAAAGATGACAAACACTTCAATTCCAAAGCAGCTAATGATTTCAGCCCACCTGTGTCTGCACCAACCTTGGTACATTTTGCAAATGTCCACTGGGTGGCATTGTTAGGCTGCTGGAGATATACTAGCAAGGGTGGCTGAATGTGGTTCTATCAAGCTTACCACACATTTCCCAGTGTTTCAACCTCCAATTATGATGTCATTAGAGGAGGAAAATACAGGGAGGTGTTTGGGTATGACTGTTCCTTTTTGCCTAAATAAACCCTGTACACATATACAAATGTGGGACTAAAACTGATTTGACTCACCACTATTATAAACATATATTTGGTTTGGGGTTTTTATTCACATTTTCCTCTGAGAAGGCCACATAACAGTGATGACAACCCTGCTCGCTTTTCTAGGAAAAGTACAACATATTCAGGATGGGGTGTAACATGTGTCACAAGATGTTTTATGCTCCATTTAGTCACGATACCTGGCTTGCAGTCACAAATAAGTAAGGCGCTATGACTCACAGACACAATCTAACTTGATGAACTACTCAACTTACAAATAAAATTATACCTTTTTTAAAAGTTAAAGCATATTGCACACTTACTGATCAAAGTATTATGTATTACAAATGAGGAACTTTACATTTATCAGATAAAGAAAACACTGTTCACTTTAATTTATATATTGTGATTTGCAACACTGCACAATATACAGTGGGTACGGAAAGTATTCAGACCCCCTTAAATTTTTCACTCTTTGTTATATTGCAGCCATATGCTAAAATCATTTAAGTTCATTTTTTTCCTCATTAATGTACACACAGCACCCCATATTGACAGAAAAACACA